GTCCGCTGCGAGGCCTCGGAGTACATGGCACAATCCTCGATAACGAGTGAGGTTAGCACGCTCAGGGAGACGAATCATCCTGTGGATAGTCGATCGGACTGTTGCTGGCTGACGGTAACCTGACAACGATGGACTAGAACGTTGTTGTTGCTATTATCAACTAAGTTCAGGGTAGTGGTACCCGGATACCGGTCTCAAACCTATAAGGCTCGCGGCCTTATGGCAAATTGTGTCGTCGCGTCTTCACTACTCCACTAAGTATATTTTCCCCCAAGAGACGATTCGACTGGAGCTGGGAGCTTTCAAGGAACATCATTGATTCTATCAGAATGAACAGAGTTTACAGTCCGTACAGCGACACTTACTGAAACCACTGGCCACAAGATCCACCTTCACTGAATTAGCTCCACCTATCTCGGACACCTTCCTCACGACCACATCCGACATCGATGCCGAAAATACCACAGTCTGTGGCGAGAACGGCTTCACTTGGGCTAGCAGTGACTCCACGTGAGCGCTCGTCTTGGTGCCATCTGAAACCAGATGACCATCAGCAATGGAGCGACAACTGTCGAGGCACACTCCTTACCTTTGAGCATAGCATCGGCCTCATCTAGCACCACTATCCTTATCCTTCCGACTGGTATTGCCCCGTTCGTCACGAGTTGTACTATACGACCGGGAGTCCCGATAACTATCTAACAGCAATCAGCTGAGCAAGACCGGGGACGAATATCGAGAACCTCGGGATTGCTGTTCTCGATCTCTCTAACTAGGGCTTTCATATTGCCGTGCCCACCCGTCGCTAAGACTACTGTGGCTTGAGGTAGCAGAGACAACAGGACCGATGCCACCTGCAGGGGGATGGGGATAGCTCATCAGTACTTCTATACCTGTCGACTCAATTCTCTGGAGGGCAGGACGACGATGGCTGCCCCTGGACCGGAGAAGCGCTCGTTCCTCAGCCGTTCGGTGATTGGTAGCAAGTAGGCCAGAGTTTTGCCGGTGCCAGTGCGAGCCCGACCGATGAATGGCTGACCTCTAACGTAAAGCAAGAGTCACTTCATTGAAGCCATGGGAGGGATTTGAACCACCGATCATGAGGTTTACGTGAAGACATCCTACCACTACGCTAAACTAGCCTGAGAATTTCTAGGGAATACCCTAAGAAGTCGAACACAA